GTTTCTCTGCCCATTTTTTAATTGGATTATTTGGGGGTTTTTTGGTGTTGAGTTATAGAAGTTCTTTATATATTTTGGATATTATCCCTTTGTTAGATATGTGATTTGCAAATATCTTCTATTCAGTTAGGTTGCCTTTTTGTTTTGTTGATGATTTCTTTCCCTATGCAAAAGCTTTTATTTTGGTATAGTCCCAATAGTTTATTTTTTATTTAATTTCCTTTGCCTGAGGATACATATGTATAAATATGTTGCTATGGCCAATGTCCAGGAGATTACTGTATGTGTTTTCTTTTAGATTTGTGGTTTCATGTCTCACATTTAGGTTGTAGGACTGCTTTTGTGGTGTCCCAAAGATTTTGGACTGTTATTTTTCTCTTTTCATTGTCTCCATGTATTCTTTAATTTTCTTTTTGATTTATTTGTTGACCCATTGGTTGTTTTAGGCCCCATGCATTTGTGTTTTTTATGGGTTTTTTTTCTTGTAATTGATTTCTAGTTTCATTGCATTGTGATTGAAAAGATGCCTGATATGATTCCAATCTTCTTAAATTTTGAGACTTGTTTTATAACCTAATTTATGATCTTTTGAGGAGAATGTTCCACGTGCACTTGAAAAAAATGTGTATTCAGCTGGGTTTTTTGGATAGAGTGTCCCATATGTATCTGTTAGGTCTGTCTGGTCTAATGTGTCATGCAAAACCACAATTTTTTTTATTGATTTTATGTCTCGATGATCTACCCATTGATGTCAGTGGGATGTTAAAGTCTCCTACTATTATTGCATTATTGTCAATGTCTCTCTTTATATGTTAATATTTGCCTCATATATTTCAGTGCTCCTATGTTGGGTGTGTATTTATAATAGTTATATTGTATTGTTAAATTTATCCTTTTATCATTATGTAATGCCCTTCTTTGTCTCTTGCTACAGTCTTCTGTTTTAAGTCTGTTTTCTCTGGTATAAGTGTACCTGGCTATTTTTCCTGCCTTCATTTTCATGGAATACATTTTCCATTCCTTCACTTTCAGTTTGTGTGTTTCTTTAGGTCTGAAATGAAACTTTTGTAGGCAGCACATAGATTGTTCTTGTTTTTTATCCATTCGGTCACCATATTTTTTTGAGAGAGAGAGAAAGCACAAGAGAGCACACACAAATGGGGGAGGGGAAGAGAGAGAGAGGGAGAGAGAAAGAGAGAATCTTAAACAGTCTCCACATCCAGCACAGAGCCCAAAGGCGGGGCTTAATCTCGCAATCCTGAGATCATGACCTCAGCCAAAATCAAGAGTCAGACACTTGGACGCCTTGGGTGGCTCAGTAGGTTAAGCGTCTGACTTCAGCTCAGGTCATGATCTCTCTGTTTGATGGTTTAAGGGTTTGAGCCCCACATTGGGCTCTGTGCTGACAGCTCAGAGCCTGGAGCCTGCTTCAGATTCTATGTCTCCCCCTCTCTCTGCCCCTCCTCTGCTCACGCTCTCTTTCTCAAAAATAAGTTAAAAAAAAAATTAAAGAGTCAGATGCTTAACCAGCTGAGCCACCCAGGTGCTCCATGATATGTTTTTTGATTAGAGCATTTAGTTCAGTTAGAGTAGTTACTGATAGGTATGTACTTAGTGCCATTTTGTTATTTTTTTTCTGGTTGTTTTTGTAGGTCTTTTCTGATCTATATTTTCTTCTTCCCTTGTGGTGTGATGGATTTGTCTAGTGTTGTGGGTGGATTATGACATTCTATGTTACCTTGTTTTTAAGATTTTGTATATCCCTTGACTAATTTTTGTAGATATAATTGATTTTACTTCTTTTGTGTTTTAACTTCCATGCTGGCTTTATAAGTGATTAATCTAATGCCTTTACTGCATTTTTGCTTTCATCATTGAAATTTCCTCATTTCATAATTTTCTTCTAGTTATGGCCTTTTTCCACTTAAAGAATTCCCCTTCATGATCTCACTATTGGTGAGTTTGAGCCCCACATTGGGCTGTGCTGTCAATGCAGAGCCTCCTTGGGATTCTTTCTCTGTCCCTCTCTCTCTACCCCTCCCCTGCTCTCTCTCTCTCTCTCTCAAAATAAATAAACTTTCTTTTTTTTTAACGTTTATTTATTTTTGAGACAGAGAGACAGAGCATGAACGGGGGAGGGCCAGAGAGAGAGGGAGACACAGAATCTGAAACAGGCTCCAGGCTCTGAGCTGTCAGCACAGAGCCTGATGTGGGGCTGGAACTCACGGACTGCGAGATCATGACCTGAGCCAAAATTGGATGCCCAACTGACTGAGCCATCCAGGCGCCCCAAAATAAATAAACTTTTAAAAAATAAAATAAAGAATACCCTTATCATTTACTCTAAGTTTGGTTTAGTGGTGATGAACTTCTGTAACTTTTTTTTTGTCTCAGAAACTCTTTATCTGCTCTTCAATTCTGTTGATAACCTTACCTGGTAGAGTATTTTTGGTTGCTGGTTTTTTTTCTTTCAGCACTTAGAATATATCATGCCACTCTCCCTTCTGGTCTGCAAAGTCTCTGCTGAAAAACTCAGCTGGTAGCCTTACTGGGCTTCCCTCGTATGTAACTGTTTTCTCTTGCTGCTTTTAAATTTCTCTATTATTAATTTCTGCCATTTTAATTATATGTTTTTGTGTAGACCTACTTTGATTCATCTTGTTTGGGTTTTCTGTGCTTTCTGGACCTGGATGTCAGTTTCCTTCCCCATATTAGAGAAGTTTTCAGCTATTTTTTCTTCAAATAATTTTTTTTTCCCCCTTCTTTCTGTCTTCTTCTTCTGGGATCCCTGTAATGCAAACATTATTATGCTTGATGATGTCATAGAGGTCCCTTAAGCTGTTCTCTTTTTTAAAAATATTTTATTTTTAAGTAAAACAACGTGGCACTTGAACTCTTGACCCTGAGATCAAGGGTTGCATGCTCTTGCAACTGAGCCAGCCAGGTACCCCAAGCTGTTCTCTTTTTTTTATTATTCTTTTATCTTTCTGCTATTCAGCTTTGTTGCTTTATATTATCCTTCCAGATTGCTGATCCATTCTTCTGTGTCTCCCAGTCTGCTGTTTATTCCCTCTAATGCATTTTTTAATTCAGTTATTGTGTTCTTTACCTCTGTCTGGTTCTTTTGGATAGTTTTTATCTCTTTTTTGAAGTTCTCTCTGAGTTCATCCACCTTCTTTTCAAGTCCAGTGAGTACTTTTATTTATTTATTTTTGAATATAATTTATTGTCAAATTGGCTTACATCTAATACCCAGTGCTCATTCCAATAGGTGCTCTCCTCAATGCCCATCACCCATTTTCTCCTGCTCCCCACCTTCCCACCCACCCTTAGTTTGTTCTCTGTATTTAATAGTCTCTTGTGGTTTGCCTTCCTCCCTCTCTGTTTGTATCTGTTTTTTCCCTTTCCCTTCCCCCATGGTCTTCTGTTCAGTTTCTC